ATGGTGCTATAGCAATCCTACTTCATCTGACGATGGAATATAGCTTGATACTCTGAAGATACTGATACTTGGCCGGGGTGCTGTATTTACGACAATACGTCAACACCCCTTTCCATGAGATGTCGGCCTTCGTGTCTGCATCACATTCGCGCAGGGATACATGCTCTCCTTTGTACTCAGCGCACACCAAGACCTTGACAAGCCATTCAAGCATCGAAAGAACAGACGATGCATATTCAACCCATAATTGACACATCGAACCTACAGCCTACAACCAAATAAGGATGAGAAAACGATAAATTGAACATCTTTCTATACATAGTCCTACAACCAGCAATCACACGACCAGACAGACAAAAGGGTATCCTAGCTGGCCAACATGCTTGACAGATAAGTACGAGAACAAGTCTTGCTTTGTGTGTTGTGTGGCTATATCTGGAGGTTGCAGGACAAAGGTGGACGGAAATGGCATACAAGGGATTCAGCCAGTTTAGACAACGGACATCTCGCCGAAGCGCTCCTGTAGGTTGCAAAGCATGGTTAGCCTATTTGTTTCTCATGACTTTTATATTACTGGCACAGTCAATGGTTGGAAATCTCACCTTGTAGCCGGCCGGCATCCAGCGACCCTTCTGGACAAGGGAGGAGGTCTTCTCGTCGATCTCGGGCTGGGCAGCAGCAACCTCGTCCTGGAGTGGAATGGTCTGATTAGCAAAAATCGAGGCGGAAGGTCGGAACGATCGCAACGTACGACGGTGAGGTCCTCGAAGGGACGGGCGGTCTCGATGTTCTCGAGGGTCTTCTGAAGGTTGCGGAGTTCAACCTCGACCTTGCCCTTGGTCTCCTCGGCGCTCTGGACAGCCTGGGCCTCGAAGGCGTCGATGGCCTTCAGCTGGCGGTTGACATCGTAGGTGGCGGGCTTGAAGCTCTTGAAGTGGCTCTCGAGCTGGTCGACGATGGCCTGGTTCTTCAGCACCTTGCGGTAGTGGGCGAAGTCGACGGTCTGGGGCTGCTCGGACAGGACCTGGACCTTGCGGCGCGCGTCGTCGTTACGCTTCTTGAAGGCCTGGAGGGAGGCAGCGGTCTGACCGCGGAGACCGAGCGAGCTGGTCAACTTGGTCCAGTCGATCTTGAGAGCGGCGCTACGCTGTAATCCAGGCTGTTAGTGGGCAATCTCGCCGGCTGACTGCGTCAGAATATCTGCAGAGACGGTGGAGACATACGGCGGCCATTTTGAATTGTGTTCTGGGAGGGAGTGGGAGGGAGAGGGGAGGTCAACGTGCAAAGCTGGAGAATCCGGGAGGTTGAGGGTTGACTCGGCAAGATTTGGAATGGGGATGGTATCACGTGACCCGCATTTCCCGTCTTCCGAACGGCCACAGCACCACCCGCAGCCAGAAAGGCCAAGGACTTAAGTATGCAGTGATTGTTGTCACTGTGCCACCTCTACAGTGCCTGAATATTAAAAGTACTGTAGATGCACACCCACTACAGATTACAGATAGAGAGCTTAAGAATATTTCTGGATCATTCAATTCTGCTTTTGAGCCAATTGATTTACACAATGGGACTTGCCAACGTATCCACCCGAGAGGACATCATTTTGGCTGCAGACCCACAATCCAGCCTGCCAGCAGGGTCGATACAGCTCACCCACTGGCGCGTGCGGTTAAGGTGACAACGCTTATATGCTAAGAGCCATGATGGAGTTGACAATGTCGTTGTCGTTCTCCCGAAGAGCCTTCACGGCCTTCTTGCGAGACACATTAGCCTGGGCCATAACCAGTTCGATGTCCTTCGCCTCAAGGCCAGACTCATCAACCTCCTCGCCATCATCCTCCTCCTCCTCCTTCTTGGCCTCAGCCTCGGGGGCCTTGCCCTGAGCGTGGTCGTGCTCGTGGTCGTGACCGGCGTGCTCGTTGGCAGCGGCCTCGGCGAGCTGCTGAGCAGCGGAGGCCTGGGCCTGGGAGTTCAGGTCCTCGATCTTGGCCTCACCGAAGATGCTGTAGGAACAATGTGTAAGCTTGGGGTCATCCATTGATAGTCTGAGGTCATCACAAAAGAAACCACGTACATCCAGGTGTTGCTGGTAGGGGAGCGGTAGACATCGGGCTGGTTGATGACGAAGAGGATCTGTTGTCGAGCTCGAATTAGCCATACTGCTGCCACATTCCTCGTCCGCTCGCCGACACGCCTCCGAAAATTTCACTGTAGGACGGTTGCCGAGCGATCGCGGATAGCGGGGTAAGAAGGATTCGGTCGCAACTCATACGTTCTTGGGGCGGCGGAGAGTGACACGGGTGATGCCAGGGACGTGCTTCAGGCCGAGTTTGCCAATGGCCTTGCGAGCCTTCTTCTCGTTGCGAGAGTGGATGGTGACGGCGGCACCACCGGGGATGGTGGGCTCATCGCCAGCCTCAGACTCAGAGTCGCTGCCGGCATCCTCAACCTGGGTCTTGGGGACCTCCTCGTCGGGAAGCTCTTCAACACGGGGATCGGCCATTTTGTATGTGTGTAAGTTGAGTAAAGCCTAAAGTGGGCTGAGATGGTGGTTCGAAAGGTCAGCAATTCGCACGGTAGTGGGACTCGCACAGGTGGTGGTTTGGGACGAGGCTCGAATTGGGCCTAAGAGACCCAGAAATTCCCACAAAACTGCAGGAATTCGCCAAATTCAAGCGGAAACGGCATCTGAGCGGTCACAAATTCCATTTGAACGTACCTGGACACAGAATAGGGGACTGTGGTGGATGGAGGGGATTTTTTTTGCCTTGGTTGGAGTTGGGAAGACTTGAAGCTGTGTGAATGTCATCCTGCCGAAAATCGTTAGCGAGCTTATTGGGGGGGCCCTCCCTCTCCCCCCGGACACACAAGCAGCGGCTCCTCTACAGACCAAGTTTGTCTGCATACAACCAACTAGTAGCTACTGAGTTACGCTGTTATAGGCAATCTTATAGTTTTTAATCTTCGAAGCCTCAATCTAGACCTAATCTTGAAATTAATAAAATTTACAATAAAAGTCCCTTTTTTTTCGTCTTTTTTTGCTTTGAAAGTCTAAATCGTGTTCATTGCCCATTTCCTTCTCAGGAGTTGACCCGCTGATGTCAAGTCGAAGACCCAGTTGTATCATAAGTCATATACTCGCTGAAAGGCGCTCGTTTCAGGCGGCGAGCGGGTTTCAGCTTTCCATGACGTACGAGAACAAGCCATGTCAGGATATCAAAGGTTCTTGAATCATTTTTATGCTGTCAAATAATGCATACAGCGTAATTTTTTGCTGAACATAAAATTAACCCATCAGCAAATAAACCCCGTCCTAAGGCACCCTGTCACACTTTGCACCGAGCCCCAATAACCATCTATGCCTTGGGAGCGGCAGCTCTGAGCTTGGCGTGAGCCTTCTGGACCTCGTAACGAGCCTGTAGAGTTGGAACATGTCAGCCTTCGTCCATTGTCCCTGCGCGCGTCCAGAGAGCCATCCCATTCCACCGCCGAGCCCAAAATAAGCCCCAATATAGCCCCGTTGTCCCTTCTCAAATGGCTCTCACATGGCGCGCGCATATCACAAAATCCATCCCTGTCGCACGTACCTGCTTGCGGAGTCTGAGAACCTTGAAGCGCTCGAAGTCGGTCAGGTTCTTCCGGCGCTCGATGCGGTCGGTCTTCTTAGCGAAACCGCTCTGAGCCCACTTGCCATCGATCTCGTTCTTCTCCCAAAGCTTCTTGACGGGGCCAGTACCGGCAGCACGGGGGAGCTGGGGAATAACGAAGTGGGTGAGGGTGGCGTGGGAGAGGGGGAGGACGTGGCGGGGGACGATCTTCTTCTCCTCGGTGGAGGGACCATCAACCAGAACCTAATCGGGTGCAACTCGTGTCAATTTTCACATTCATGTTCATGTTTCCCTTCCCGCAGTAGAATCCCATATTCCGTCTCTTGTGTTTTCCCGACCGAGATCTCCGGGGTTCCTCCAACCACAAATTCCGCGCGAATTTCATAGAACGTACACGTCTGTGGTCGACAATCTCGACAATGGCGGCGAGCTTGCCGGTGTAGGGACCGCTGCGGATCAGCACAACGCGGCCAACCTCAACCAGCTTCCATTGAGCAATCTTGACATCGATATCGGCCATGGCGAAGGCTTCCTATTTTTTTGCAGAACAAAGAACGACTTTAGTTTGGATGTTGCGTGCGTGTGTGTGTGTGACAGGGTGGTCGTAGAATTTGGGGAAGGGCGACAAGAACTCACGGTCGACAGACTCCGGGTGGGACGGTGGTGGTGATTTGTTGTCGAAATGTCGGGGTTGTCGAAGGTCGTCCTAAACGCACAAGTCTCGTCGCACTCAACGGGGGCTGACTGGATAGCGAATTTCGGTGGTTGCGGCCCTTCGCCCACAAGAGTCTCGCTTAGCAGCCAGTAGCAGCCCGCCGCCGGGTGTTTGCGTGCGGCCTAGGGCTGCTTCCGCTCCTTAGCGCCCTCCATCGGCCACCGGATATTTTCCGCTCCGAGCACCGCGCCTTTTAAGCTTCTGATTCAGCAGCAACTGTTTGCTGGTGTTTCTGTTCTCTCCGTGTGTGTGTGCAGTTCTCTCTGCAACGTTCCAGACTTTTGGGATTTGGAACTTCAGGACAAATGTGGTTCTGATCGTGACGATCAATCAATCGCCTTGAGGCTTTGAAGCTTCAATTGCTCATAAGCTACACTAACTTCGACAGTGTACGTGCATCGTGTGTTGTACTGGTATGCATACATCTATTTCTTTTGCACTTCCTACCTCGCTCAATCCTTACATGATGCGGTAATTTGCGATTGACGCAGCGTCTGTGATGCCCTCGCCGGGGTTTTCTATACAGCGCTGCCGCATGATATTTAATTCTTACATATTCTGATATCCTCAACACTTCGTCTTCTGTTGCTTCTCACATTTCCATGTGTTATTCATGCTGACATTGCGAAGATCTTAGCAGCAGACTCGATTCTTTCGCCTTTTTAACACGATTGTCCACTTCGAGATATTGGTATGCATACCACTTTTGCTTTCATCTGCCCTCCCCAGTTCCGGTGATTAAAAACATGATATCACGCCTAGATAGTAGTTGATGCCTTCTGGCAATGATATTTCCCTCATCACCAAGATCTCTGAGGAACATCCTTAAATCCAGACTTTGGATCATCACTCATCTTTGCTTTGACTGGTTTCTAACCTTGTGCAAATCCAGGTCCCGTCTCAAGTCTATTATAGCTCTCTTGACTCAATGCTTATCTCTTACATTTCCCAAAATTCTTCACATTGTAGAATCGGTTCCGCGTAGACTAGTATCCTCCGTCTGGCTGGATGTTGTAACATTGTTATATCGAGCTTGGTTACATGTTAACAGAATTGATGGCCTGCGTAGTTCAGAGAAAAAGTTTCAGCGCTATTAAAGATCTAAATATATGCGAAAGTGACACATGGTAAAGCTTTACGTGGAAAGATGATGAGGGGCCTACATCAACCCCCTGTTTCCCTTTCGTGAAGTCCATCTATATCATTAACTGTAATCGACCGATTACGGAGACGAGGCTATTACGATGAACCCGCACCCATCCCCGCGACACTAGCAATTGGGCCCTCGCGACTCAGCACCCACATGAAGATGAACTGGATGATGTACGCATAAACGAACAGGAACTGGGTACGGCGGTTGCGCTGCGAGCGGGCAACAGTGTGCATAGATCCTGAACGCATGGAGGCGTCACTAGTGGAATCCGGAAGCAGAACGTATTTGAGGGAGCGGAGCTAGGTTGGACAGCAAGAGTTAGCTAGCGACCCGGCAACTACGGTATCACCACGGGGTACGTACCAGGAAGAAGGCGTTAGCCAGGAACGTGTAGATAAAGACAACCCAACCAACCCAACCACCGGTGCCTCGGCCAGGCGTCAGGATTTCAGACGCCAAGAGCGTGAGGATGATTCCGACGAACTTATACCCGGAGTAGGCAACGAGATCGAGGAGCTGAGACTCGTTGTTGATGCTGAGGATGTACATTGCCAGCTTCAGGCACATGATCTCGAACAGTATGACCGCGATAGCTGTCGTGGTAATCGACCCTAGGAGCTCCGGGTGGAAGTTTCCGCGGAACCCTGCCAACATGGCCGAGAGCAGAATGTAGGTGACCAGTGCCATCACAGGGATATACATGTCAGGCGAGTTCAGATCATCACGCGGCGGAAGGAACATGGAGGAGTACTGCTGCTGTGAGATTTGGCCGTTGGGGCCAGCTGCAGCCGTTGTCAGGCGTGCTTGTTGACGGGACCAGGGCTTGTGTCGCCATGGGAAGAGAACGAGGGAAAGCTTGTTCAGGACGTAGGAGTTCGAAACGTTGAAGTAATGCTTGAGGGCCGGAATGGACACATATCGGTTTAACTGGGGGGGTGGAGGTTAGCAATGAACATTGTCAGAATGCCATATCGGCGCTGCTTACGTTCTGCTCCATATACTCCTGGCCAGCCATCATCGCCGTCTTCCCGACCTGAAAACTCATCTGCGCCGTTGGATCATTGATGAACTGGCCGAACCCCGGGCCGTAGGTCCCACTGCCACCTTGCGCAGGTGCGGGTTGGTATGGGTTGCCATAGCCCGCGGATTGAGACTGCTGAGACGTCGGAGGCGGCGGCGAGCGCATCATTGGAACTGTAGAGACATGCTGAGGCACTGGGTGGTGAAGCGGAGGCGACTGCGCCGGAGGTGGAGCAAATGATTGGCGATACATGTTTTCTGAGAGGAGTGTCGAAGTCGAAGATTTAAGACAGGTTGAGGTTGGAGTCGATGGGATGATATTGGGGGAGTTCGTGGGGCGCCGAAGCGGCAGAGAGCTACTTAGTGAGATTTGCACAAAGTTGGAGAGATGAAGGTGTTTATACGTGGCTGAAGTCCGCCGCTCCTTCCGCTCCCCAGCTCAGCTTGCCGCCCACGCCCACACATTCCCCACCCGCGCGGACCTCATCATCAACCTTCCACTCGATTATTACATCACCCAGCAAATATCTCGAATCACCCTCCGCAAACATGTTGGAATCCTTCGAAATCCTCGACACCTCGGGTGTAGTTCTCTGGTCAAAGTCCTACGCCCCTGTGGGTGCCCACGTGGTCAACAGTCTTATCAGTGATGTTTTCATCGAAGAAAAGACCCAGATTCAAGGCCCAAATAGTACCTCGCCAACTTTCAGAAAGGAGAAGTATACCTTGAAGTGGAAGAGAGTCAAGGAATTCAATCTCATTTTTGTGGTATGTGCCTTCTCCAATGCAACTTGCGCTTCGTGGCTTCTAACAATGCTGTGAGTCAGGCCGTCTACCAGTCTATTCTACAGCTGGGCTGGATCGACAAACTCCTCGATAATATCGCTACCCTGTATATCGACCTTTACAAAGATCAACTGAGAAGCACTCGCGCAAGGATAGTGCAATACCCGTTCGACAAATACTTTGACCAGCAAGTGCGCGAGCTCGAGGGCAGCTCCGGATTTGTCGCATCGGAAAGTTCTGTGGCGAATGCAGTTGATAAGAAGGATCCGCTTGTCTCGTCTGACAATGGGGGCCCACCACCGCCATCGGTCTCTGGCCTCATCAAAGGTATGTTTTACTGCGTGCCCCCGATTTCAGGGCCTTACTGACGGTCGCAAAGCGCAGCAACAAGCTGCGCTCGGCGGCGTGGTCACCTCAGATGAGGGTACGCCACCCCAAACTCCAGACATTTCGAGATCGACAACTCCCGTTGCCGGTCATATCCTTACCGCCAAGCTAGGCCCCGGAGGTCGTATGTCGCGCCGTGGACGCAAAGCCGCCAACTCCAGCGCCAATGCTTCATCCGGTGACGAGAAAGGGCGAAAGGATAAGACTCCAAAGAGTGGAAAGAAAATGCGTCGGTGGGATGCAGACGGCTTCGCTGATGAGGACGATGGCCAGGTTCTGGACTACTCGGCTCCGGCTGATGCTGAGGGAGCACAAGTGCCAGCGGTCGAGGCTGTCTCCGAAGATTCATGGGGTCGGAGAACTGGTAAAGGCCAGTTCGTGCTCAAGGATCTCGGAGATGAGATTCACTCAATCCTTGAGAATGCAGAGAGCGAGAAATTGAAGGGTGCTGCTTCTTCCGGTATCGTTGGCTCGGGGTTCAACGCCATCGGTGGTCTCCTGCGGAACATTGTCGGCGGTAAGGTTTTGACGGAAGCTGATCTAGAAAAACCCTTGAAAACGATGGAAGATCATCTCCTGAAGAAGAACGTTGCGCGGGAAGCGGCGGTCCGACTTTGCGACGGTGTCCAGCGGGAGCTTGTCGGGAAGAAGACGGCTAACTTCCAAAGTGTGGATGCAGCCCTGCGTTTGGCCATGGAATCCTCCTTACGCAAGATCCTGACACCAACTTCTTCTCTCGATCTCCTTCGTGAGATTGATGCTGTCAGATCTCCCACGACCAAGGAGGCGAATCCCCGTCCCTACGTCATTTCGATTGTTGGGGTGAACGGTGTCGGAAAATCAACTAATCTTGGAAAGATTTGCTATTTCTTGTTGCAGAACAACTACCGTGTTTTGATTGCGGCCTGTGACACTTTCCGGTCCGGTGCAGTGGAGCAGCTCCGTGTTCATGCCCGCAACCTCAAGGAACTTAGCCAGCGTGAGACTGCTGGTGAAGTGGAACTATACGAAAAGGGTTACGGCAAGGACGCAGCGAACGTCGCCAAGGACGCTGTGGAATACGGCGCAGCCAACAAGTTCGATGTTGTCTTGATCGATACCGCAGGCCGCCGCCACAACGACCAGCGTCTCATGTCGTCTTTGGAGAAGTTTGCCAAATTCGCTAAGCCCGATAAGATCTTCATGGTCGGCGAAGCGCTCGTTGGTACGGACAGTGTGATGCAGGCCCGTAACTTCAACCAGGCCTTTGGTACGGGACGAAACCTTGACGGCTTCATTATTAGTAAATGTGACACTGTGGGTGATATGGTAGGCACTCTGGTTAGCATGGTTCATGCGACGGGTATCCCAATTGTGTTTTTGGGTGTTGGTCAACACTATGGTGACTTAAGAGGGCTGAGTGTCCCTTGGGCTGTCAACTTGTTGATGAAGTGAGTAGTCTTGTGCGATTTAAGATTCTAACGCTAGAATGATGATGCTATAGCTAGTCTTTTTTAAACGACTCTAGAATTATTTATGGGACAAAATGCCAGTTGAAAATGCACACATGATCTGGCAAGGATTTTTCTATGGGAGTAGTCTTCAGTCCATCCAACTCCACCACAACAAATACAAAACTCCGTACAAATGTTCAAATATATCTTGGTGGCAGCAGGAGTATACTAGAGATGGAACTCTCTCAAGAGATGAGAAACAAATCCACAGAGTATGAAGGATCAAAAGGTGCGTGCGATTATCGGCATATATATAAGTAGTGGCCGATATAGCCGCCATTTCTGCTGGTCCTACTGCACTTTATCGGATCTGAGGCGAAACGGACCAATAGGCTTGACTTCCGATGCAGAATCCCATCGCGCTGGTCATTTGTGCCACCAAAGAATCGAACAAGCCATAACTTAATACCAGCGTCTACAGATGATGTTGTTGTTGTTGTTGGCCTATTAAGCACGTGGTGGTGAGCGTGACCACAAGCTGGAGCGGATGAGTCAGCTGCAAGCCTGCAGAGGGGCTTACATCATCTGCAGGGCCTCGCCGATGATCTTGTGTGGAGTGGAGTTACTCCGCGCGCAACATCTTCGAGATCCAGTCTTGCTGCTGACTGCGCTTATCATCATTACTCCCTTTCTTTCTTCCCTGCTCGCCTTCAGCTTTGGGACACGGATCTTACGCGGTTGAAAGATCACTTTTTATTTGCGTTTCACCCCTTCAATCGCTTTCAGTCGTCATATCCTGGGGGCTCCTACGCCCCCCGCACTGCGAACGACGTGTGACCCTTGAGCTCCATCATCTCTGCTGAAAACGCAAGGGCGGCTCACCGAGGCTGGAGACACGACCTTCGTTCATTCCACTATCATTCAGATCATCTTAGGACCATTCTTCGTGAAAATGAGGACAGACGAGCAGGGTCCGTTCAACCGGCGACACTCTTCCACCCTCCACTACCAAACCTTCGACACCCCACCGCCAAAGTCTCGCGGAAGACCGAATTCTGGACAGTCTGGATCGTCTGGCGGAGACTCGCATCATCAGCAGAATGACAATGGCTCCGAGCGCGGGTCTGGGTCACCACTCCCGAAGCGGCAGATGGCCATCCTAGCCTTCATCTCCCTGTGCGAACAAACGGCCTTCAACTCGATTAGTCCCTACCTACCCGAGATGGTGTCGTCATTTCCTGAAGCTGAAGCTCGACCGAATACCGTGGGCATGTATGTTGGAGCGCTGGCTACGGCCTTTGCAATCGCGCAGCTTGTGACCAACTATTTTTGGGGCTGGTTGTCGGATCGTGTGGGCCGGAAACCGATCATCCTCCTGGGCACCATTCTTACGGCACTATGCTTCTGTGCGTTTGGATTCTGCAAGACACTATATCAGGCTATTGCGGTACAGGCGTTAATGGGTGCGGTCAATGGCAATCAGGGTCTCGTATCGACCTGTCTCGGTGAGATCACCGAC